ATTTTGAGTTTATTGCTACAGTGAAATCTTTTATGTAATGAAAAATTACTCTGTAGAAATCATTGTTATAGTGGAATTGAGTGCAAAATTGTGAATGCATAATTTGTTAACCATTTTAATTTGTGTCTTGGTGAAAGAAAATTAAAAAATGAAGATAGGTCATGCACTGTGGCACATGCCTATAATTCCAGCATTTTGGGCTGAGGTCCAAATTGCTTGAGCCTAGGAGTTGAAGACCAGCCTGGGCAACATGATGAGACCCTATCTCTACAAAAAAATAAAAAAGTTAGCCGGGTATGGTGGTGCATGCCTCTGTTCCCAGCTACTTGGGAAGTTGAGGTGGGAGGATCGCCTGAGTCTAGGGAGGTAAAGGTTGCAGTGAGCCATGATTGTGCCACTGCACTCCAGCCTTAGCGACAGAGTGAGACCCTGTCCCTCCAAAAAGAAGATAATAATTAGGCAATAGTTGAAAACAAAAACCAATTAGTTTCAGAGAGCTGGAGAAATTCCTCATTGCTTCCATTATAAAGATTAGTCAAATTTTCCCCAGAATCATTAAGTAATACCTCAGTTGTTCTTTGATTTAATCTGATGGTATAAAATCTCTTTGTCTAGTCTCACAACTAAAGTCAATAACAAGGGATTGTTTGTTTATATGCAGGATGTGAAATCCTTCATAATCATAAGTAAGATTTTTTTTTCTGTCTTAGAAGTTTGAAAATTTTTGGGAGCCTCAGAGTTGGTCTGAGCATCGAAATAGAAATTCCAGATTCCTGAAGAACTGAATTCAGAGGAATAGTTCAGGGACACCTGGGCATAGATTCCAAATGACAGAGTGACTTGGCTGACTCAATTTAATTCAAGAACCAGGAAAGCTCAATGTCTGTAACATACCCTAAACAGACTAACACGGATGCTTAGTGTGAGATGTTCTGGAATGGTGATGTAAGCATGAGTATAAAAGCGTAGCAGCCCAGTGAGAAATCAAGTTTTTTTCCTCAAAATCCTTCTTATGAGAACATCACCTCTTTGCTGTGTTAGTTAATACACAATGAATTAGTTAATATATGTTAATAATATTTTGTAGCCAGGCGCAGTGGCTCACGCCTGTAATCCCAGCACTTTGAGAGGCCAAGGCAGGCGAATTGCCTGAGGTCAGGAGTTTGAGACCAGTCTGACCAACACGGTGAAACCCTGTCTTTACTAAAATTACAAAAAAGTCAGCTGGGCATGGTGGCATGTAATTACAGCTACTCGGGAGGCTGAGGCAGGGGAATCACTTGAACCAGGGAGGTGGAGATTGCAGTGAGCCGAGATTGTGCCATTGCACTCCAGCCTAGGTGACAGAGAGAGACACTATCTTAAAATAAATAAATAAATAAATAAAAATAAAAAAGCAATAATAATAATATTGTGTAAACCATAAAAAGTTATACAAATGCTTTTCCTTTCCATGTTTTTAAGAAATAGACAATAGGAGAAACACATGTATCTGTACATATAAACTCTATGCTTTCAGTGGGTGCAGCATTTTACATGAAAGACTATGACCTAGGGTTATTGTTGATTAGTATTGGAGCATTATATGATCTTGTCAGAGTATGGGATGTTATGACAGTCCTAGGTCATGATTTATAAATCTGGTTTTGTATATTGTGGGGGATGCTGTTATTAAACCCATTTTTGCCTAGTGTTCCATTCCTGGTACGCTAAGCTTGTTGGAGTTATTTATATCCTACTGCTCAAGGTCATTGCCAAGGTCTGATTTTTCACAAAAAAATTTTGCAGCCTCTAGCATAAGTGGGTTAATACATCTGAGTATGTGTACAGAAACTAGGCGTGGGCTAGGTTTCTCTCTAAAAACAGGGCCCATAATGTAATAAATGTGGGACAAATAAGAATGTTCATTTATCCTAGGGGAATACAAAGGTCCTACTTATAGGACCTATAAGACTTGTAAAAGGACTTTTGTGTACCTTAAAACCAATAAGAATAATCAATGAACTTAGGATGGAAGAAGTTAACTGTCCTACAAAACAACATTCAGTGAATTCCAGAAACAACTGAAAGAGCTTAGGAAGAGAAATGTTAGGTGCTTCCTACAATTCAAAAGATAGTGTAATAGGTACAGTTCAGTTCTACCATTAAACAAACTCAGGGAAAAAGTATCAGCATTGAGAAAGTAATCCAAGGAGACACTGCTGATGAGCCTTACGGGAGCCACCAATGGACATAAAATCTTGGAAACAATAATCCATATGGATCATGGAGCTGCAGTTGGCCTCCTCAGCTGGTGGTTAATAACTAATATTCTCAAAGGAAGACAGTGGCAAATTCATTTTCATTCACCCAATCAATAATTATTGAATGGCTGATGATTGTTTTATTGGCTGCTTAATTCAGCAGAAAATATTAAGAACCAATTATGACTGTGGCTGTATGCTGGGCACGTTTTAAATTTACCTATGATGCTGCCTGAGAAAGGTTTAAAATGGCCAAACTCTAGAAGTAGCAGTAGCTGCTCTAGCATCAACAAGCAACCAAACTGGAACTCGATCTTCTCTACAGAGCCTGGTATGTGAACTTACCACACTGTTTTAATAATCTTTTCTTTACTTTTTTATGTCTCCCAACTGGAACTTTTTCTGTAGAGTTGAAATACGTTTTTTCATTTTAAACCACTCACATGAACAATACGGAAGCCAGAGGAATAAATGAATAAGGGTACCCCAAATTGCCAGTGTACAATACATCAAAAGTTAAAAAAAGATATCCAAACTGAATCTTTGAATGTTTTTAGAAAAAGGTGGAGTTCAGGAAAAAAGTGTTACATGAATAAATTTTATAGACACTCAAGTATGTTAATTGACATTTGTCCGTCATAAGCTAGGTATCTCTCCTCTATGACGTTCTCACGGTCTGTATGTTTCTCTATCTCTGCCCTTATAACATTTTATAATAATCATTTATGTGTCTGTATTTGCAGTACTTGAAAGAGTATCCCTAACTGACATGGTAAATGCATATTAATTATCTTTGTATCTCCAATGTTTATCACAGTCCTTGGCACACAGACCATTCCCAGTGGACATTTAAGGAGTGAATGAAGGTCAGGCACAGTGGCTCACGCCTCTAATCTCTGCAGTTTGGGAGGCCGAGGCAGGAGGATCACTTGAGGCCAGGAGTTCGAGACCAGCCTGGCCAACATGGTGAAACCCCATCTCTACTAAAAATACAAAAGTTAGCCAGGCATGGTGGCTCACTCCTGTAGTCCCAGCTACTTGGGAGGCTGAGGCAGGAGAATCGCTTCAACCCAGGAGGTGGAGGTTGCAATGAGCCGAGATCGTGCCACTGCACTCTAGCTTGGGTGACAGAGTGAGACTCTATCTCAAAAAAAAAAAAAAAAAAAAAAGAAATAAAGAAAGAAAGAAAGAAAGAAGTGAATGAATATGTGGTGAATTTTTCGAGGCTATTTACTAAAGAAAGCAATATATTGAAAGTAACAAAAAGTAAAATAATCCATTTGTATACATCATGTAGTTTACGATGCCTTTTTAATGCCAGGTTATGGCCATCTGGTATAAATTCAATCACATTATCTTGTAAGAAATATTATTGTTTCTTATATTGAGGGGCTGTTCTCAGGCAAAAGCGACTGATGAGTCTTTGGAATGGTTTGATCCTATTTCTACCTTAATATGAAATATGTTTTTAAAGACTTTTAGTGTTCAATCTCTGATTTCTTTACTTTCAGCTCAAATAAAATGAAACAAAACCTATTCATCTATCAGTATTCCTTATTTCAGTAAATAATATAATTATTTAGTCATTTGCTAAGATAAAACAATCTAGGCATCATCCTTGAATGTTTTCTTTTCTTCTCTGACCTTCTGCACCTCTCCCCCAGTTCATTAATCACAACCAACATCCAATCAGTTAGCAGATCCTGGGACTCTGTCTTCAAAATATATTCTGAATCTGTCCGTTTTTACTACTTCTGCCTTTACTGGTCTCACTTTATTGCAGTAGTCTCTTCACTGGTCTCCATTACACAAGGTATCAAAAGAAAGCTTCTGAAAACCACTGAAATTGAAAAGTTTCTCCTGAACTTAAAAAATAAGAGCCACACTCTATATGCCCTCTGTGCCCTACCTGATTGGGCCTCCACCAAACTCTTCACCCTTACCTCCTACTGCCCGCCCCTCTCCACCCCATCTCCAGACTGCAGGTCGTCTTGTTGCTGGAACATGCCATGCTTATTTCTGTGCTCCATGCTATTATATGTGCTATCCTTTCTTCCTGGAACACTCTTCTCATGGAACTGCATGAGGTGGTCGTTGGGACACAGCTCTCTGTCATGTCTTCCGAGATGCCTCTTTAAAATAGTATCCCTACTCCAGTTACTTTCTATTCCATTTCTCTGCTTTACTTTTCTAAAATAACTTCCCATTTTCTTGTGTCATTTCTTTGCTTGTAAACTTGTTTAATGTCTGTCACCCCTACTGGAAAGGGTTTGTATCTGTCTCGTTTACGGTTGTATCCTTGAATAGTAGGTATTCTCTAAATATCTGTGGAATGATGGAAGGCTAGTTAGTTCAGTGTGGGAAGTAAGTTAGTATGAATATGTATAGACCAGTGGTGATTTGCTATGAGCAATATATCGGATGTTTTGAGATCATCAATTCATACTTCATTGTCCATTCAAGGTTCATAAGGAAACAAAAAATATTTCAGACGACTCAGACTAAAACAGGATTAGTTGCTTCTCATGGGGAAAGACCAGTTTAGTCTACTACCAATTCGAGGAAATCAAATTTGTTGCATTAAAAATCTACTTTAAAACTTTGCTTCAGTCTTATTAGATATATTATCATGTTTATATTACCTTGGGGGATTTGAGAGATGGGAGCAAGTCATCAGCAGGGCTTCTATGTAATTACATGTTATACATATTGCTTAGGACATTGCTTAATTACTGTAATAAACATTTGTGCACTGACCTTTTTATCCCTCCAAATGTTTGTGCATGACCTAGGAATTTTCCAAAGTCAATATGAAACATGTGGCCCGACTTTGTCAGCATGATATTATCATTGTGACGGTCACATACTCCCAGGATGAATGTTACCACACACCAGCCAGCACAGGAGTAGAAAAAGTTCCTTAAGGCCTAATCCATTGAAAAACAATCATACAAAAATAACAACAAAAAATGAGCAAATGCATTAGCATCAGAGGTAATCATAAAAAGTAAATGATAAAAAGCAAAATTACATAATCAGGACAAATTTCTACATCTCAGTGGACAGAAGGGTACAGTTAAGCAGCTGATTCTTGATCTGCTATAGAAAAATATGAAACAATTGTTCTTTAGTCTCTAATAGATAAATGTTTGCATTGAAACTGGGGAGAAGATCACCTTCATTCAGATGGAGTTTATTTTCATGGTTCACTAGAGAAGTTTCCTAGTGTGATTTTTTGATACTTCAAATATACAATAGTGAATGGTTTTTTTTTTCTAAGTAAAAGAAGGAGGAACAATACGGCCCAATATTGCCTATTCCCAGAGGACTTTTAAAATATCAGTTGTTGAATATTTGAAATTTTGGAAGACAGAGAAAGCTATACTGAGAAATGTGTAACATTTCATGTGTATTTTTACAAATAGGTCATCAACGTAGTTGATGTCTGAAGCTGTTTGGTATAGTACATACACATCAGTGAATGCCTGTGTGGGTGGAAGCAGATTATCATTAAGTCAATTTGTGCTTATGTTTCTCTAATGAACAGAGGTTTCTTTCCAAAAATACACTTTGTTTCCAAAATGGTCTCCTGGGTATACATTATTTCATCAACTTGGTGGTGTAACCATGAATGACTGGTTGGGACAAGGTTATGGTCTCCTAGCATGGAGGGGCTGCCTTGATGCAGTGAAGGCTAGGTCACCAGGCTGCATGCTAGGGTGCCTCAGTTCCAGGTCTTCCACATGCCTAGGCAAGTCACTTAATTTGTCAATCCAAATGTTCTTCACTTAGAAAGAAAATAATAAAATATGTCCTTCATATGGTGGTTGTGAAGAGTGATGTATTTGGAAACATCTCAAACAACGTAACCACAAGGATTAATGCAAAACTGAAGTTATAATTTTGGGAACAGCTAAAACATAGATTTCAAGGTAATTTTATCTAATTGTTTATTATTTGGTCTGTAAAGCTTGTATTTTGCTCCAACGTAATATTATGGAAGTGTGGAATAGATGAACTCTGGAGTCCTTTTTATCATGGCCTTTTTATCATAGGTAGGGTGACCAATCATCCCAGCTTACCAGGTCTGAGGAATTTCTCAAAATAAGGGGATTTCAGTGCACAGGATAGCACCAACCAAATCTACTGGTGCATTTTTGCATGAATTAGCATTTAGGTGCTCATGCCTCTGGGTGGACCCAGCTATACTAGATCATAGCTTGGTAAGTGGAACAAGACCTGGTTCTAGCCACACTCATCTCCTTAGCCAAGATCCCTAATATAGGGCAGAACCTGCACAACTGTACACTGCAAGCCAGATACCAGAATGAAGTAAACGTTGAGAAAAAATGTTTGCGGTCAAATAAAATGGTACATTTTGTAAAATTATGATATACATAAACTCTATTTTGCATTTTGCAAACCATTAAGAAAATGGGAGATGAAAAAGTAGAGAACAGCAGAAGAAATGTATTGCAAAGAAAAGCAGGAATAGTTATAGAAATTGGAGATTAAAGGAGGTAACTTTAAGGGGTATTGTTTCTAGGGTGAGACTGATGTCAGGATGGCCTCTGAGCAAAAAACAATCTTTATTGATGACAGGATTTTCACCCAGAAACTAAATAAAATACAGAAACTTTTATGTAGTTAATACATCATTTAAGCTGGGTCATTATTACTGGGCTGATGATTGACGTAGAACTCAAAATGCACTTAATTTAGTTTTCTACAAATCAGAATATCTAATAAACCAGAGCATATTCTTATTTAAGTACATTATTTAAAATGATCTGCAGCAGGACAAACCTTTTCATAATCTGCCTTTAAGTGGTTGTGCTGACTGAACCACTTTTTTATTGTGTTTTCTTTCAATGGTCCTATCAGTCCAGAATGGCGATGAATCTTTGCTAGGGTCACAGCATCAGGTACCATCTGCACCAATCCTGGTAGACAGAAAAAAGGTTACAGAGACAATTCCTTCATCACAGGATGAGGGCGCCTTAGGAAATATAACAACAATAGCTTCTAGCACTACTGGGTTACCCCTTTCCTTTCCAAATTTTCTTTTCTGGAGGAGGCTTATCTAGATGCATCTCCTTCTAATTCTTCCTAAAATCCTGGAGAACAATGAGGCTACTTGTGTTTGGATCAGATTTAACAGAAGCAGCTTTAATATTTTTTCTAGAGCTATGGTAGCAAGCCAATCTTGATGATGAATGGAGACTCCACTGAGTCAACAGAGTAGTTAATTAATCATCACATGGCTGGTGCACTCATTTACAGTTTAAGGGAGGACATTTAAGCTTGGATAACAAACATATTTACAACTTAAGGGAGCCAAATACACTCTCCATAACAAACATTGCATATGTATTATAAAAATCAATGTTCAGGTTAAAAAAAGCTTCACAGTTAAATGTTACATTTCCGGGAGTGAACAGAATAACTCAGCAGTGAACATATAGAGAGCTACCTGCTCCTTCCTTCTCAGTCAATATTAAAGAGAAACTACAATAGTAATTTTTTAAAAAGGGATCATATATTGATTGAACTTAAAAAGGAACTTTGCTCTGCTGCCAATGTATCCATCAAGGCTTTATTTTATTTTATTTTATTTTTTTTTATTGTGCCCCTAAGGTTATTGGAATGTAAATATTTGCAAACCTTCTGATTTTTATACTGTACAGAACAGCAAGGTAGATCCAGTACTTAAAGCTCTCTCAGGGATAATGTCTACAAAACAACGTGCAATGTATTATAAAGTCTTTAAAATAAATTAAAGTCTAGAGTTTCTGATTTCCATAGTCTCAACAATTGCAAGAGTTGCAAACTCAAATTCCCAGAGACACCAGGGACACAAATATAACTACAAGAACAGAGAGATGGTTGAGTTTTTTAAATTGACCATTTAATGATCTACCTTAAAAACATTCAAATTAAACAACATTAAAGTAGATTATGGTGGCGATAAACAAAAGACTTAATGGTGCTGAATTTGGTCAGTTGCAGCTAGTTTGCAGCCTTAATTTCTCTTAACATCTGATAGTCCCGTTGTGATCATTGGCCATCTACATTTGTGGATCAGAAGGAAACTTCACATCCAGAGACAAGTCCTGGGAATATCCATAGTATCATGACACTTCTCCCTTCTCCCCTAACAGTATTCAGCTGTTGCCCAGGTTTTCTCATGTGTGTCAAGGGAGATAGCAGGTTTAAAACATTTAATGTCAGTAGGTGATGCTTTTTAATCCTGAAAATTTCCCTCCTCATTTTTCCAGTTCCTCTATTTAATACTTCCTAAAGGAAGTCACTTTCTACGTGGTTGCTGAGTGTTTCAATGCCATCTTACCTTTGACCATGCCCCAAATTAGGACTTAGATGACTGCACCTTTTTAGATACTTTTCTGCAGCAATGTCAATTACTTTTCCAACTACGTTGATTTTTAGGGAGTTAATGCTTGCTAAATCCCAAGTCACTGATCACAAGCCTTGAATTGCTGACTATCTAGAAAACCTTGTACCTAATTTATAGCAATCATGGTGGCTAAATTCTGCTCATTAATTGAAATCATAAATTACATTTTATGCATTTTAAGCTAGTGTATATCATACACTATTTAAATTCTTCGAACATCATTCTGTGCACATAGAGTAATATGTGTGGTTTCATTCTTATAGTCCTTTAATGCAGCATTTTTCAAAATTTAATGCACATACAGATAACTCGGTGGTTTAATGGTTTAGCTCTGTGTCCCCAGTCAAATCTCATCTCAAATTATAATCCCCGTAATCCCCACATGTGGAGGGAGGAACCTGGTGGGAGGGGATCGGATCATGGGGGCAGTTTTCCCCCATGCTCTTCTTATGATAGTGAGTGAGTTCTCACAAGATTTGATGATTTTATTAGTGTTTAGCAGTTCCCCCTTCTCCCCCTTTTTTTCCTGCTGCCTTGTGAAGAAGGCCCTTGCTTCCGCTTCACCTTCCGCCATGAATGTAAGTTTCCTGAGGCCTCACTAGCTATGTGGAACTGTGAGCCAATTAAACCTCTTTCCTTTATTAATTACCCAGTCCGGGTATTTCTTTATAGCAGTGTGAAAATGGACAAATACATTTGGGGATTTTGTTAAAATGTTCTAATTGAGTATGGCAGGGTGCGGCCTGAGATTCTGCATTTCTACCAAGTTCCTAGGTGATGCAATTGCTGTGGGTCTGTGGTTCACACTTCAAGTAGCAAGGCTCTTAGGGATAAAATTAATCAAGGTGGTGTTATACGAGGTGGTGTCTTTCAGACAAGGGTGCATAAGAAACATCTGAGCATCTTTTTGCAATTAACCTTTGAGCCCCTCCTCCACCTCCAGGGAAGTCTGATTTAGTACACCTGGTTGGGGGTAGGTTGCATCTACTCTTCCCATCCCCCTATGAAATTTTTATGTTCATCAAAGTTGGAGAACCAATGATAAAATAAATTCTGAAGAATTTTTATTTGCCCTGAAAATTTCTCCCAGAACTCCTAGGACATTACATACAAAGTGACCATGAGAATGATACTCAACAATGATATTAATAAAGTTATGGAAATTGGAGTTTACTCTCATCAAGGGCACAACTCTATTTACCTCATTTTAGCATGCATTTCCCATCTAAAGTTGTGACATTTCTTGAGAAAAGCAGGTATTCAATAAGCCTTGGAACCTGATTAAAAATGCAACCTAATCTTCTAAAAATGACACTTGTTTTAATGATCTCTATTTTTCTTGAAGAATTATTTTGACAGTATAATGCCCTCTGAAATCTTACAACTATTAGAGGTTGTTTGTTGGTAGACAGAGGAGAAAAATAACTTCTTTGTCTTGCGACATCTGCAACTTTGGATAAGTCTATAGTTATTTCTGCTGAATTATTTTATTAACTAAAAGATTCAGCCTTGGTTACATTCTATAATTATAAATAGAAATGAGATGAAATTTAAAAATTCCACTGGGATCAGTAATTTATTCAATTTCTAGAGAAAAGGTGATTCATGTAACATCAAATATTTCAGCTTGGATTATGTAGCATTATTCTATTTCAGCATTTTAGGACAGGAAAGCATTAGGTCACTTACGTGAGAAAAAGTAGGGTAAAATGCAAGGAATAACAATCTCATGGTACCAAGGATAAATGACTGTTGTAGTAACTAGAGATTTAGAAAGTATTTAGAGTGGGACATGTGGCATGGAAGTAGTAGCCCTGTTATCAGAATCAAATTAATTGGCTAGTATGACTTGTAATGCAGTCATTGTAAAGTATTAAGTGGCAAGTGAATTTGGAGGTGTTTTCATACTTAGCATCTAAAATCTCAAGTGTTGACTGGGGTATTGAGACTGCTGGTGGGACTTCAGGAAGTGAGGATCCATGGCATGACAGTTCTCTTGTGATGACAGGTTTAAATTGTAGCTATGCTTGAATTAAAAAAAGAAAAAAATGACTACATGGTCTAGATCCCCTCTCCAGTTCTGTGATTTCATCCCTTGTTTATGCACATGTATCTGCCATAATTCACACCAATTAATTTAATAAAATTCTAAGTGGCAATGGTTATATGTAAAAAAAATTATAAGATATCTTAGATATTATTGTTTCTTTAGTTTGGCATTATTGTAATTAAGTGCAACTTCTACCTCAGATGTTTTAGTGATAATTTGGGTGGTCTATTGACATTATTTTCATTGAAAATGTGCATAAGTATAATTATATTTTCATATTGATTTCTTGCCTTTTATAAAGGAAAAGAAATGCTGACATATGTCCAACATTTACATGTGTGACCAACATTGACTGTTGATACTTTATCTACTCAAAAGTCTTTTAGAAATTAAATTAAGGTTTACAATGTGTTTAGAATTTCCAGAATTCCTTTCAGCACTTGAAAGTGTGTATTTTGTGTTAATAAGTAAAAACTGTATTCTTTTAAAAATGAGTAGGCTTTATGTTACAAAATGAGAAAAATAACAGTAAGTTATTAATGAAACTAACTCTAAAAGACACTGAAAAGAAAATCACAGTTAACATTTGGATTGTGAAGGTCCTAATTAATACCTAAAAGTATATTATGCTTTATATAAATTCTATCGGCTTATCATGTTTGAAAGTAATTCTTTTTAAAGAAGAAGAATGTGTACAGTTCTTTGGATTTTCAAACTTGTAGTTTGAAACGAAAGAGGGAGAAAGTTTTATAGCCTACTACCAGTGAATGTACGAAATAAATAATGTGAGCCAGTGCACTTTCTAATCTATACTGACCTTGGTCTTTTCCTGTAGATAGACATCTATAAATGATCATTTGCATATCCAGGCCTTCTTGCAGCCACATGTTGTCCATCACTTGAATAATCTGCAGAACAAGCATATCCTGACGAAGATCATCTCCAGCCTGTTAAAAACAAAATGATAGACCCTGGGTTTTTCCTTGAATTCCATTAAAAGCAGTCAAATATAGTACATGTCACTTTCTTCCTTGGATACATTTCTATCCTGACATAGAGTGGTTTTAATGGTTTTATTAGCACTAAAAGTACCTCGTGTTTCTGATAAAAAAGGTTTTTAAATGAGAACTTCCCTTTAGATAATTACAGAAGCTTCAACCGTCAAATTAGAGGTGCTGCTTGGAATGCTGTTCCTTGATAATAATTTTCCATTTATTATCCACGTGCGATGTCTCAGATTCAAAGTCTGGCAAAGACAGGCTGGATGAATGTTTATTCAAATTTCAAACTTAGCTGAGAGAGAACTCTTTCTAAGTGAAACATTATTTGCTGTGTCATAAATTTATGCACCGATATGCAGTTAGAATACCAAGAGCTTCTTGATTAGGAGTATAAATAGCATCCATATGATTAATTAGACTTTAAATCAGTGATTTCTCAAATTATTTTAAAGATAGTTAAAAGGTTTTCAGAGAAAATAATTTCCGATAATAATAAGAAATGATAAAGTGGTGATAGTCATGTATTGGTTAAGGAGATTGCATACGTTCAAAGGGGAAGGATAGTTCTATCCTTTTAAACAAATAAGAATTTTGGTTTTGAAAACATTTTCTAAATTATACCCAGAAAATCCTGCCAAGATAAGATTTTGTGTTTTCTTTTTTCCCCTTCATCAAAAGTACAGTGTTGTGGGACCACTAACTCTTGAGGTGACAGGACAAAGCAAAAGTACAGGCACACTACTCATTATCCTCCAAAATAGACAGTGAAAATTCACCAAAAATTCACTCTGAGACCTTGTTGCATGGCTTGGCTGAATAATTGGCCAAATAAACTGGAAGACTGGCATATTCTTACTTTTTGCCTTTATCTCCCTCTCTGTTCCCTCTTTCCTACGTGCTTATAAACCTGTTACTACCTTTTCTCTGTTTTTCCAATGGGATTAATGATGAAGACTGAAATGACCCATATTTACTTTTTTATTTAAAAAGAAAAAATAACTCAAACTACTAAAATCAACAAGTGCTAGCAGGCAAGAATTTAATGTTAAATTAACTTATGTCATTTCAGTTCCCGTTAATTTTGATCCCAATTTAGTATCTAGACCAACATAAAACTTTCTTCCTGGGGCTCACCACACATTCAACTTTCTGTGCCACTTAAAAGCAATCATATCACTTCATTTATTAAAATATATTCTCTTGGGTTTTGCACTGAAGGCTCCCTGGCTATGAGCCAGTAATGTTTGATTTATTGCCAATTGAAGTTTGGCACATACTACATATAATCCCGTAAAAAGGCAGACTCTAAAATAACTGAAAAACCTATGTGTTGTTGCTGGAGGAAAATAGCTACAACAATTTCTTTTTGTGAGTAATAAATCGATAGTTCTGTCTATGGAATCAATTCATGTTTTAAGAGCACTATCATACCTTAAAAATAAGGCTGATGTTTTTGCCCATTGGATTAGCATTGATGAAAGTAATCTTCAATGGCAAAGCATTAGATGTAAAATATGAACATGCCTATAGGGAAAGAAAAACGGAAAACTAGTGAGCAAAATAAATCAACCCCCAACACCCCAAAAACAAACATTTTCCCCAAAATCATATCCCCTTGCAGACTTTGTTGTATGAACAAATGTAACACATATGAATAATTGTTATACTTTGGAACACAGAAACATACATATTTTTAAACATTTAGTCTATCAACTGGAGCCTTTACTTTGAAACCAAGAAGCTAGCTTTTTGACAGATTACAAACCTTCAACTACGTTTTTTCTTCAATGAACTGTAGTGATATGTTTGAGGTTTAAATGAACTAAGCAGTGTATGAATATTGGCTTATGCTAGCTGGTCAGTAAATAAAAGTTAAAATTTTATTTTAAAAACTTTATTTCCTTTCCATTATGTCTACCTTGCAGAATACTTTAAGGAAAAATAGAGAGTTAAGAAAGACTTGGGTTCAAATCTAAGCTTTATAACTCATTTGCTGTAAAGTGGAGGTAGTAACCCCTCCCTCATACATCTTTGTGATAGATACATGAACTAATGGATATAAAATACCTTTTACAGGACCTGACACTAATCAGTTACTTTGAAAAATCCTTACATTTTTCTTTATCTTTTAGCTAATGAACATTTTCTTGTTTTTATATATAACAGTACAACATAGATTTTGTCTTCTCATTTCCTGTAATTACACATTCCATTTGCATTTTTGGCTTTGTGATATTGACTACTTTTCACTCTACTTTCCTTGTTGCCTGTTTTCCTTTTATTTTTTTACAACTGAGCATTGAAAAGCTGTATGTCTTTAGACTATTAGAGAGTTCATGATGACATTGAAGACAATATAAGAAAGGAAAAAGACTTGATGCTTTCAATTTATCAACTTAGTAAAATATGACATCAATGCATGTTGAAAGATCAGCTTGAACAATGTTATCTGCAAGAAGTCTGAAATTAGTAGAAGCTGAGAGAAAATATCTATTTCTTAACTGACCTATCGACACAGATCTAACCCAATATCTTAACTAAACATAAACCCTTGCTTACTGAATCATAAGCAAGAGTTTAAGAGATTGAAAATAGATTATTTCCTATTTTCAATTTGAAAATTCAAATTGATTCAGTAAGCAAGGGTTTGTTTAGTTAGAAATTGGGTTAGATTTGTGTTGATAGGTCAGTTAACGAGTAGATATTTTATATATAAATACAGATGTTTTATCTATAAATAAAAATAGATGTTTTATAGTTTTATGGGTGAGGATGCTTGTTAAGCGATAAAATTCTGTAGCAAAAGTCAGTTAATTAGGGATCACGTGACCATATATCATGGTATTGAATTAGCAAATTCTCTATTAGGCAAGAAATGAGTATAGATCAGTGGTTTTTAAATTCTGCTCATGGAATTTGCAGGGACCTCTTTGAGTTATCCCAAGTTCAGGGAGGCTAAAGGCAAGGCTTAGCCTATCTTTGTAACTATCACCCGGAGATATTCTGCTTTTATTGTTTCACATCTTGGTTTTCACATGCAGTAAATATTTGAGTAATTGTCAAAAACATGTATTCAACAACTAGTATGCACATTATATGCTAAAAAAGAAACACTATATCTACCCTCACAAAGCCTATTAAATTTGGTTTTATATATGTATATATATATACACATGCGCGCACATCAACCCTAACAGCTTTCGCACAATCATTGCATTTATATATATACGTATATACATGCATATATGTACATATATAAATGCACACACATTAAGTTGAAAATAATTCACAAGGCAGTTTATCACCATTGAATGAAGTCACATTTTAAGAAAAAAATTTTCAGAGGTTAACTAGATCTTGAAGATTGTGAGGGACATAGATTAGCAAATAGGCAGAAACAAGGGTTTTCTAGATAGAAAAAGGCAAATGATAAGATATTAGATTAGAGTGATAGTTACAAAGTAGATTGGAATGCCCATAGATGTAAGAATTAGTCAGAGTCTTAGAGGAGGATTTTATGTAGATGGTATAATAAGATAGAAAAGCTGGAAGAAAGGAAGATATGATCTCTGTCCTTGAGAAGCACACATCAATGACAGAGATCTAAAAATTAGTTGAAAAAGAAACCAGTAAGTAAATGAAATATCTGGTCCTTGTTTTCCCTAAGTAGTGGGGAAGAATTGCATTCAGTTCTTCCCACTCTCCCACTTGGTCCATCCTTTAGTGATTTAAAAGAAAATAGGGAATGGCTCATTGTGATTAATGGTTTGTGGGTAGGGGTGGAAGGCAAAGGTTGAGAGTTTGTCTTATAAAGACAGTTTAGCTCAAACCTGAGCCCCTTGCTCGTTGACTTTGAGAGCCACGCTTTAAGAAACGAATTGAGCCAGACCTGAGTTCTTCTCCCCAGTATGGTTGACTGACGGTGACAGAAGCTGATTAAAGGCTTTCCCCTGCTCACTCCATTCATAGGGCTCTTTTCCAATGTGAACTTTCTGGTGCATGATCACTTGTGAGCTATAATGGCTCACACAATCATATAACAGCTTTCACACTGTCATTGCATTTATAAGATTTCTCCCCACAATGGGTTCGCTGATGTACCACAAGACTGGCACTATAACTGAATATCTTTCCATACTCATTATGTTTGTAGGGTCTCTCAACAGTGTGGATTCTCTCGTGTATAATGAGGCATGAGTTTTGACTACAGATTTCCATGCTTATCATATTTATAGGGCTTTTGGCATATGTTAACTCTCTGACACAGAATAAGACATTTACTCAGACCAAATGCCTTGTCACACTGCATTCAAAAGGTATGAATTTTCTCATAGTCAACAAATTAAGAGCTCTGATAGATGGTTTCTCCAAACTGCATCCATTTAAATAAGTTTTTTATATGACCCTCTGATGTCAAATAAGACATTTACTTTGAATGAAGGCCTTGCCATATTCATCATGCTTATAAGGATTCTCCCCAGTATGGATTATCCAGTAGTTGATAAGGTTTCTGTTGAAACAGAGAGATTTTCCATACTCATTTCAACTGTAAGATTTCTCACTTCTTTGTTCAATGGGACTGGAGGATAGATTAAAATGTTTCCCAAGATGCTGTCACCTGACCATGTCTGTCCTGTTCATTGTTGTACCCACAGGTGCCCAACCCTGTGCCAGGCATAGCTAGTCAGAGCAAATGGAACCAGAGGGTGGCTCTACTTGGGACAGTTTCTGCAGGAAAAGTACTGCTAACCGTAGGGTGCTGTAGGGAAGGAGTGTGGTCCCACCTGCATTACTAGGGGTGGTGACTCCTGGGCAGCTGACCCCTGGCCCAGCCGGTGCACCTGCACATGCCAAACTTATATGTAACTTTAAGTGAAAAAAACAAAAACACGCTTCTCCTTTAAAACAACAAGCCAATAAAGCAAAAGCAAAAACAAACAAACAAACAAACAAATAAACAAACAATGAAAAACACAAGGACTCAGTGATCCCTGTTGTTCTTTCTACATTAAGGTACAGTGTCCTTGAAATGCTGAGTTCCTACATATGCTCAGCATTAGTCAAGAATGCTGCTGATGATGAAAAAGTTGGGCAATTTTTTGAAAATTAGTAACGATTTGGATTTCAGCCCAGACAGACATATCTCAGTTTAAGGAATTTGAAGCCTTATTTTGTTATGTTTCAAAATATATTTATGAAATGTATCAAAAAATTTGCAGCGAGTCTTGTGGCAAAGTGATAAAGGTGATGGTATCAAGTTTTTAGCAAAACATTTTACATTCACGGTAATAATGGTCTAATTTTTCACCTAATTATTGGGTTTGTTTTCTTGACTGTCTTATGACTTCGGTTAAGTAACATTTATTGTCCATGCATGGTAGCTTAACCTCTTCACTTTTAAATCAAACATATTCATAATTTTCTCTGTTAGTGTTTTTGTACTCTTGGGCTTTTGAGAAGGAAGATAATAAAGCTTATCAGGAACAAGGGAGAAAGAATGATTCTAAGTCAGAGAAGGGTGACTGAAGAGGTACCTGCCATATGACAGAGGATTAGGAAGAGAAGGCTTAGGAAGTTGTGAGTCTGACAATGCCAAGATGGGCTTTCCAGGCGTGAGTAAAATCACAAACTATATGACACACTGACATATTAGAATCAATGAATTTTAAATTGAATCAAAATAGAAATGTTGTAGTTAATGATTAATGTTCGTGTACTAGGTATGGTTATGCACATAGTCTAAATAAACCACGAAATTATACCCAGCCTGCATGGGGTCGCCAAATCAATCATTTCTAATGAGTCAAGAAATTAACCCAGTGATATGTTCCTCTATGTTCCTCTATTTTTTTTCACTGAATTGATGGATAGTTTGTTTCCAAATAAACAAACCATGTGATAAGGCCAATGTGACCCCAACTGGTCATAGTGTATCGAAGGGAAAACACAATGTAAATGGATTCAATTACTTTTTCCTTAAAATAACTGCAATGTCAGCTTATGAATTCTTTTTGCCATTTCAAACATATACAGTGAACTAAACTATACAAAACAGAAATATTCAATTGATCTGAGGAATAAGTTAACTTACATCATGATCAATCCCTTTTATACACAGGGCAGGGTTCAGAGGAAGATGACAAGTATTTACATCTTGAAAGAACTCTTCTAGTCTGCCAATTTCTTTCTTCAGTACCTCCTGTGAAAAATCATTAGAAAAAGGATTTAAGAAAATGTAAAGAACTTGACTTTTCCTTCAAGTTATAATTTTCTTCTATTGATTAAATGAATTCCTGAATTCAGGGTTGCACACTTGGATGACTTTGGGGTCAGGCAGGTGATGTATTCAGGCATGAGAAGACAGTGGGCTAAAGACAATAGGGCATGCTGGAGAAATGGGAAACTAAAGCATGCATGCTCTTTCTAAAGGACCTCAAATTCAACTAAAAATAAAAAACAGTCAAAGCACTGTACTGTTTAAACAAAACATAAAGGGTTGGACTTGACCTGCGTAGCCAACCCTGCTTTATGTAATTATTAACATGATCCTTTTCTGATAATTTTCTGAAATCTGAGTTTGTGACTCTCAAAATTACACTCAATAGTAATAGTGCATTTTACAAAAAAATTACATACAATAGTAACAACAATGACAAAAATCAATTGCGTAATGCTGTCAGAAATAATAATACGCAGGAACAAATAGTTTACTGGACGTCAATGAGCATATTTCTGATATTTCCTCCCTCCTACACTCCACTATACTCATGGCAGGTCAGATATCAAAAACAACACCTTTAAATTGTGCATCCTATGACAAAAGAGATAGGAAATAATAACAATTCATCACAAAACAAACAAAGCTTCTTTCAGTCCACTTTCACATATACACAATGGAGTACTATCCAACCATAAAAAAGAATGAGATCCTGTCATTTGCAACAACATGGATGGAACTGGAGGTCATTATGTTATGTGACATAAGCCAGACACAGGAAGACAAATATCACATGTCCTCACTTAGCTGTGACAGTTGAAATTTAAAACAATTGAACTCATGGAGACAGAGTAGGAGGATGGTTACTAGAGGCTGAGAAGGGTCGTCAGTGCAGCAGGAGGCAGGGGGAATAGTTAATGGATACAAAAAAGTAGTTAGAAAGAGTAAATTAGAAAGACTTACTATTTGCTAGCATGAGGTAACTATGGTAGAAAATGTTTTTTGTGCATTTTAAAATTGAAAATTAAAAAAGAAACTTTTTGAGCCCAATGGAGAAGACAAGGATATCATATTAATAATGTTCACTCAGCTCTCAACAGTTTCTTAGCTTTTACTCCTGGCTTATTGGCAAATAATAGAATCCACAGCTCCCAGAATCCAGAAGAGCAAAGTGGAAAGACAAAAATTGCATTACAGCCCTCTGTGTGTGGTTGTTCTCCTTTGCCTCATCTATACTTGGGTTTGCCTGGTGGATATCATGGAGAGGAATCTATGCTCCCTTCATTTAAGTAAAATCTCTTCCCAGTTCATATAGTTATGCTTAATTAGTGCTTTTTTAAGTAGAAAAATAGCTATTAGTAACTTAAATTGTGAGAAATTATTATTTCTTAAATTGTGAGAAATTATAAATGCCTCTCCCACCTCTTCCTTTTCCTCTTCCTGTTTTCCTATGTAAAGAGATGTTATCACAAAAGCAGCCAGTCAAGGCAAGATAAATATATTTATCTGAGTGAATAATGTCAGTATCACTCTGGTACTTGAAGCAAATGATCAAAAAAAGTGCCAGAATTATTTAACTATAATGTACATCTTAAACATGTGAAGGATTTTAAAACGTAAGAGATAAAGACCAAACCTTCACACAAACTTCTGTAAATTTTAAATCAATTTATTTAACTTGCCATCAACTTTTTGTCTACCATTAGAAAATAATTAAAGAACTTATAGTAACATTTAAAAAAATCATAGAACTTATTTTTTTCTTTTTTGCATTGCTTATCTTGTTATATGCCTTAAGGCTCCACTGTGTACTGGAGTTTATATACCTCCCATTTAAGAATAAATTTATTTTCTATTTTCTCCCAGGAAGGTGAAGTAGCATAGTTTCTGGCACTTCTACTAAACGAAGAGACTTCCAGCAAGAAAAATCCTGGGCTGAGAAAGAATTCTGGGACACTTTGCCCACTACTATTTTTATATCATTTTGTTGAAAATTCTTGTTGATTTTAGATTATAAGTGGAGAGAAACTGAGTTCCTTTGAGGACAAAACTCATGTTTTGGTCATCTTTCTATCCTTAACCCCTAGTCTATAGTAGGTAGTTAATTATTATTGAATAATATTCTTAATACAATGAATGAATGTCCGCTCTCTCCCTGCATCTAGAATGTTGAACTTGAGAGAAACTACTTAATAGTGTGTATCAGTATAGGGAACTAGTGATGCAGATAATTAAAAAGAGCAAATATTCTTCCAAGAAAAATAATAGCCAGGTCCATTATTATAAACACTGAGAAGGAGGCACATATTTTGACTAGCATCCATAGGTCTTAGTATAAAAAGTATTACTATTCTTAAGGCCATTGATTTATTTCATTTAATTCAACTTATTTGTTGCGTGAAAAATGTTCTTTGCTGAGCAACAACAACAAAAGTGCCCTAAAACGTCTCCTCATGTATTTCTCCATGAGTCTGAATTGTGTCGCCATATTGACGCGACGACTTTATCAGGCTTGTTTAGTCAAACTGCGTATAAAGTTGGTCTTGTCTTTTCAGGTTCCGTTTGTGTGTCACATGGCTATTTAGGTCAAAAAACCATGTCCTGGTGATTGGCATTATCATTAACTTAAGAACAGTAGGTGGGGAAAAAAAAACTTGACTAAAGTAATTGATTTAAGTATCATATCTAAGTGTATTAAAGGAATTTGCTTTGTAAACAATGAAATTAAAACTTAATGTAAACCAAAGTTAAAAGAATTACTACCTGAAGATTAATATTTCAACAAACCTGTCTTTGATGGTCATTGGCAGACTTGACTTTTTCCCCAATATCTCCTAGAATTTTGATAAGTTTCTGCTCCTTGGAAAACTCATCAGTCAAGGCTTTACCTGCACAGAATTGGAGAGCAGCTAGTAGCTTCTGATACCAGCTTTTAAAATAAGCTTCATTTTCTGCATCCTTTAGCAGCCTGAAGGAAAGAGAGAGAAAAAAATTCTTGTATCTAAAGCTGATTTTTTTAACCACCTCCAGCCGGAACAATAAGTGCATTTCAAACTAATCTGTATTTGGTGGCTTTGGACAGTTTAACAGCCTAGAATGGAGAAAATGTTGTTTATTCATTGATAGTCATCAAGTTCCATCTGATAGTTAATGAGATTCCAAGAGTGAAGAATCAATAAGAGATCTGCTTTTCTTCATTTCAATTCACAACACATCTTTTCTTCTTTCAGTTCTCTTAATTCTAGTGTGTACTAAATCAGTTTAAAAATACTTAAAAAAAAATCGAGTACTTTTTAAAAGTATTTTTAAACAGATCTAGTACATAAATATAACTCTATGACTATCCAACTGCTACATACATGATAAAAAGAATAGTCATTTTGCACAGACAAAATCAATAATTTTTTACCAAAATAATTAAAGAAATAATATATTTTAAGGTTGAAGTTATAGGGACTATCAGAATTGTTTAGTTAATTTGTACATATAATACTCTTATTCCTTATTCTATTGAAATGAATTTGTTCTCTTATGAGCAATGTATTTGCTTCTCGGTGGTTCAAGGAGGAAAAACTCAGTTTGATTCCTTGCTCAAAATAAAACTGAGCAGGGGATAGTCACATCCTAAAACTGAGCAGGGAAGAGCGACCACATCCTAAAAAACATAAAAGCTGAGAAAACTCAGTGTATTCAGTTGTGATTATTTTCCTTGGAGAATATACCTCATTCAAACCCTGCATCCCTGCCAAGATTACATGTTCTCCTGGTGAGATGTGGTTCAAGATCCATGGCTTTTTACTTGACGTGTAAAGAGTTTGTTTTTGTACACTGAAGAATTGAAATCATAGAGTGCTGGAGATGAACACGAGAGGTCAATTATTCTATTCCTGTATTTTCGGGCACAGAAACTTTAAACGAGAAGAGAAATTAACATGCCCCTTAATTTTAAACAACTATGGAAAAGGTTGAACTGCGAAGTTTTGGTTGGAAGGTTACTCAGTTCTGTGTCAGTGACTTTCACTATAAGGAAGCAGTAAATCCTAAATATTGTAGTTTTTATCTATTGCCTCTGTCTATAAGATTGTAGAAAATAGCTGGCCACTCTTTTTTAAGGATTACAGAAATCCTTTTCAAAAGATGCCGTAACCTGGGAGAGGCAATATTGCTTATGCCAAAAATGTTTAAAAATAAAAAGTTTAAGGTCAAGGGACTGAGAAGTATCAAGTAAGACTTGCTATTAAAAGACTGGGCTTTTAAGATGCAGGCAATGTGATTTTGCACAAACTGTGAGGTAAATCTTAAAATGCCAGAGACCTGTTTACCCTAATGTCTGCAATATCCAGCTGTGATTCAATTTGGTATTATTTTGTACACATACCTTAATGCTTCATAAAGTGTAAGTTATGACAACATTAAAATGAGGATGAATGCATAAAATCTAGATGATTAAAGAAGATTTTGACAGTATTAAGTGTGGTAGGCAGTAAGGAAGAGGGAAAGAAACATAATCCAGGTGACTGAGCAAATTTTTTATAGGATGTCACGGAGGTATTTAAGTGAAGTGAATTATAGTGGACTCAGAGATACAGAGATAGTCACCAACCTCAGCTAGCATAGAATGGAGATTTTCTTGAAAATTAGAACTTTTCTACATTTCTTCATGCATGTAGTTGCTTCTGGTCACATGATGAGGGACTTGCTAGAGCCGCAGGAAAAGTACAAATAGTTCATATTCCATCAGTCTACCAGCAGGACAGAACAGAGTAATCACACCATCCCAGCCCTCTTTGCCTCATAAACTCCTTCAATCCAGGCCTTAATTTTAGTTTTCAACAGCAGGATATTGCACATCTCAGGGACTGTCCTAGAATTTTACTCACTTGTGTATTTTCTGTGGGTCAAGAGGGGAAACAACATCCAGTAACAGAAAAGAATTGAGCTACACGATAGAGATGAGTGATTTCAGATCACTCCAGGGCTTCCCCTTCCCATTTCATCTTGTGTATTTTGCTACTTTGTTTGGGCTGAGGTATGTGGATCAGGAGACCGATTTTTAGTGAGCACAGGTGGATTCCAGAATATGACTTTTTCAAGTGTATTTAGGACTCTGGGACAAATAAAGACTGCAATTCAATACCTAAAATATAATTGTTAATTTTAAGATTTTAATAGTGTGGCTAAGAAATGAAAAGCATGCCTATTTAGCATTAGCAACTTTATTTTACCTCTCAGTAGCTAAGAGATTTATTTAGTATTTTCCTCAACTGAGGAACTTGATACATTATACAATCCTTGCAAAGATATTTTTTTCTGACTAGCCCATTTTTAGAATATTGATTTGCTCTTTCAGAAATAGCAGCACTATCTGTTGACTTTTGCATATAAAGAGCATTATATGGGGCAAGTCTGCAGATATGCACATTCCAATCAGTATTCTGCAATATATGTTTATCAATAAACTACTTTGTAACAACTCAAATATAAAACTATTCACAAAGGAAACGAGTTCAGAAAATGATTAAAACAATAACCTAGATGTTGTATATATTTTTAGAACACTTAAATTTATGACAGAAGCCCATAAGGCATGAAGCTGACTTGGTTTATACCCCTACCATAATTTATGAGGTTAATCATTCTCATAATTTCCAAAGCTGTCTCTTTGGAATGTTATATACTCATGATGTTCCCACTGTTCCCACACTGTGTGGTAGATTTCATTATTGTTCCCAGCTCCATGTTTTCTCCTCTGTAGAAGATTATACATCTAGACTCTTTGTCATGTGACTTCCGGTACCTTCCTGTAGGTAGAATTTACTTCTTTATCCCTTGTCAGGTTGGTCATGTGATTCGCTTTGGTCAACAGAATGTGACTGGATGCAACCTATACTCATGACCACGGAGACGCTTTACATGGGCTATTGTGATTTGGTCTGGCCTCTGGTTTGGTTTAATTTTGCTTCTGCTTTCTTCTGGGAGAACAGCATGTCCCTGTAAGGGGCTGTTCCTTTAGTCCTGGAATGAGAAGACAATGTGGAGCCAAGCTGAGCATTGATGCACAGAGTCAGGTGGAGCCAAGCAGGACGACAGCAAGTCTGCAGCCTGAGTCCGACATGAATGAGAAATAAACTTTGTTGCCATAAGCCACTGAAACTGTGGGGCTGTTTGTTGCTATGGTAAAAACTAATGAATATGCCAACTTTCTTTGTCTTTCTTTTCTTTTTCCACTTTTTTGTTTGAGTTGCCTTTAGAATGGAAAGCACATTTTTTAAACATTCTTGGAGGGTATCCCTGAGGATATTTTGGAGCAAATCTAATTACTGAAAATAAATAAAAGTCATCTGGAGCCAAGTCTGGTGAATTAGATGAATAGTCAATTTGAGTACAATATTTCAGATCAAAAAACTGTAAAAGTAATTAACATGTCTTTTTTCATGGATCATAAAAAGTCCCAAGAGGTATTCCAAAAATGATTTGATCCAGCTTATTTGGACATGTATATTCTGTGACATTGCTAAAATTTTATTGTTATTTTATTACTACTAACATACTTCTTGACTCATTTAAAAGTGTGAATAGGCCTATGTACCATCTGTTGCTTTGTCTAGCCACATGTCTGAGTATCTGATAGGAGATGCTCTCTGAGTGAAAATGTTGTAGTAATAAGTGGCAAACACAAACTTTTTTAGGGCTTACATAACACAGGGCGAAACAAAGGGTCTGATGGCTGAGGGCAGTGAAGGAGACGGTACATGTGGCTGTTCTTGGGAACTAAAAACTTCAGCTCTACCCTATTGGTAATATCTGAGGACTGAAATGGCTGAAAAGGGGCCAATGGCTTTGGATGAGGAAGCATCTGTATTAGCATATTGAGTGTTCCTTTCCCTTGTTGCCCTGGAGTTGGCTACCAAGACCTAAGAGTGAAGAGATAATAGTTACCCTATATTTCAAAAGGGTGGCAAAAATTGACAACAAGAAGACAAAAACAAGTAAACGAAAAACCAATTGGGGGTCAGATAACTCTTCAAGGCTTATCAGGAAATGGATAAAATGGCTATGGTACAACAAGCATTATCTCCTCCATATATTTACAGTTGGGGGTGTTTGAGAGTCATGAGTCATTAGCCCAGTGAGGAGTAGAGTGAGTCCACAATGTCCACTTAACCTTTCCAAGTCCAGTGGGGAAGGAAGCTCAAATTGAGCCATTTATAGTGATTTGAGTGTATGCAGTAAGAGACTGTTACCCCAGTTTAGACTTCTGCTCTGAAAGAGAGTTTGTTGACTTTCCCCAGGCTTCTGTGAACATGAAGAAAAAGCAAGACCAGGATGGAGCAAAGGCGTGGCAAAGGAGCAGCCTGCATTCCTGCACCCCTGCAGTTTGACAAAACAGGGGTTTGTGGGGTGGATGTTACTCAAGGTTTAAATAAACTCATAAAAGGTAGTTATATGTGATCCACTCTTTGTATAGGTAGAGGTTGAGCCAGAGCCAGATCTCCTGGTGGGGAGGTTCTCCAAGGCGTCCCAAAGAACTCACCCATGGTAACCCCAAGGTAACCAGCTTTGACCGCGAAGCCACAGGGGCCTTGGTGGAAGATCTGAGCTCACAGAGAGGGGACTGCAATCGCTTGCCCTATCAAGTGTGAAGGCCACTTTTCTCTTTCTCTTTTCCTCCCGCTCATAGCTAAGAAAAGGTACAGCCAAAAGACAAAGAGAAGACGAGTGAAATAATAGATCATATCTTCTATTCCCAAGCTAGATCTTGGCTAGCACTGGAGTCTAGGGGTGCGAGGGTGGGAGGTGGATGGGGTGGGTGAGGTATCTGTCAAGTTAGAGGAGAAAATGAAGTTTTAAATTGGACAAGATGGGTTGAAGATTTTTTTGTTGTCTAAAAGTATATACAAGGAAACGATAGAATCTAGCCTGGTTTTAATTAGGGAATGTGAAAGGGAAAAGGTAGTATTTTTTAAA